AATTTGCACAGTGTGAGAGTTGTGAGTTAAACTTTACTTGGGTCGAAATGAGGACTGCCACTTGGGAAATAGCATTTGGATAGCTCTGAGAAACTGCTCTGAGGTAGCAAGAGGAGGGGCCAGGTTATATAGGAGTTTTGCAACAAAGGGCACATAGTCAGGAACATTAACAGATTAGTGTTAATTAAAAAAACAGATACGTCAAGCTAAAGGACTTTAGCACTTTTCTGTATTTGGGAAGACACAAGAGTCTGGGTTCACTGAAATCATTCATTTTTATATGCACCTTAGCAATCTCAGGCCAGTATCCTGTGTTTTCACATCCTGAATTTCCTTAGGGCTTGCCATGGGGAGTGGCTGCAATCTGATGGCTGTTAGATGACAGGTATTTTTTTTTTTTCCTTGCTGAGTTCCCTCAGAGCTCACCAGCCCAGCTGTGGTGGCTGCAATTGCTGGTGACTGTGACATCCTTGTTTACTAATATGGCAGGAAATGTTCCATTTCTCAGTAGAACTTCCCAAGCAAGTTGCTCCCCAAAAGGGCATCCTCATGAGGTAATGAGATTCCTACTGTGGATGCATTCCAGAGTTGGTTAAAGATCTGTCGAGCTATCCCTGGGTTAGGATATTGCCAAGAGCATCCCCATTTGCATTGGGAAATTGAACTAAAAGTAGATTTTAAAAGTTCCTCTCTACCGTGATTCCATTATATTTCAGGACTTACAAACTGGGAGAAGTAGAGATCTATCTGTGACTAATCACATTTAAAACTGGGAGTATCCTCAAAGATCAGCTTGATAACGGGGACAGAAACGGAATAAAACAATTTTCTCAAGAGTGTCTTTGCCTCCTGGGTAGTCTGAAATTAATATTCCCTCTTTGTCAGTGATGGGAAATGGGGTGAAAGGTGTTTAACCAGCTGTCCCAGTGGAAGATGTGCTTTTGCATGGTTCTGGGGAAATGCAACCAAATGGATCCCACAGAGCAGGAGCCACAGATCACCCTATTTTACTAGCAGAAAATGGGGGGAAGGAGACTGGTAACAATTAAACCAAAGCCGTAGCAAAAGCCAGCACAAATGGATGGCCCTATTCCAGTGTATATCTCAGCAGAAAGATTTCTCAACTGGAAAAAATATATACAATATTATAGTTGTGAGTTAAGATTTATTTGGGGCAAAATGAGGACTGTATCCAGGGAGACAGCATTCTAGATAACTCTAAAGAGGCATGGAGGAAGGTCAGTACTTCTGTGATTTTGGGGAAAGGGGTATGTGCACTCAAATACATAGTTTTGCAGAAGATGGCTTTAGTTACAAGGAGCATATATCATCATTTACAGTTGTAGTGCTTTTCTAGACATGGGAAGATGCAGTAATCAGTCTTAGATATTTTCAGAAGAAAAATTTTTATCTCAGGGCCTGTTCTGCCAGTTCTTCCGAGAGCACAAAGGGGCTCATTCCTGATCTCCACACTGAGCTCCTTTCAGAAGATGTTGAAGGTCAGCTACTGCAGTGGCTAGTGACCTAATCCTTGTAGAGGCAGATGGCAGGTGACAATTTTTAGTTGGCAGATTTGAACTCCAAAATTTGTATTAATTAGGAATACAAATAAGAAGCAATTGCAAAGGGTCATAAAGTAAAGTCTAAGAAAAGCAAAAAAAGAAGTAATTTTAAGAAATAATAGCAATATGGAAACCCTTTCAACTTAGGGTGACATAGCCAGACTCTGTGTTCAGAGACAAAATTGATGGTTTTCTTATTGTTCTGTTTTGTTTTTTTCTTAATAAAAATAGAGTAACTTATTAAGACATTTGGACCAGAAAGAAAAGTAGACACAGGATATGTCAATTACAGTCCTATCGTCCAAACAGAGCACCTCTTTGACCTATTGGTGTCTTTCCTCCCTCTATTTTCAAAGTAAGAATTTTTAGTTAAAAATAGCTTTAGCAGCCAGTTTTATATTTTATTTTCAACTGATTCTAAGGTATTTCTCATGGTTATTATAAACCCTTTAAAATACAATTTTATAATATAAACACTTTAAAAATACTGGTGGTTCAGGGGTAAAGAATCTGCCTGAAGGAGACGCAAGTTCAATCCTGGGTTAGGAGGATTCCCCTGTAGAAGGAAATGGCAACCCACTCCAGTACTCTTGCCTGGGAAGTCTCATGGACAGAGGAGCCTGGCAGGCTACAGTCCATGAGGTCTCAGTGTTGGTCATGACTGAACAACTAAACAACCACCACCTTTAGTAGACACACTAATTTATCTTCCTATCTTCCTATTGGACAATGAAGTTTGCATCCATTATTTTTTTCACTAAAAAAAACCCACCTAAAACCTAGATTTTAGCTTGGCAGCTATTTTTTTATTCCTTAATTTGTACTACTATGAATGGAGTTGCTGGGTATGAACATAATCAAGGTTTTGGTGTATAATATTACAATGAGTTTTCAGATTGCATTCAGATAAGCAAATACAGTGCATGACTTTTTAGCACCTCTCCGAGGCAGGATTTTGGTTGTTACTCTAACCTTCCCTTCAGGACAAATTCTGGAAGTTAGTCATTAATCTTTCTCCTGAGGAAGAGAACAAACATGCAGCACTTTGCAGAAAGCAGCTAATTAATCCTCCCAACTCCTAATGAGAGCCAGACCAGAATTGTCCCAACTGCACCGTTGACTAAGAAATGCCATTAATCCATGTGACAGATACCGATTCACATTCCCCAGATGCAGGAGTGCTCTTCTGCTAGATATTATGATATCTTCTAAATATAATATAGCTCCCTCCTGAGGTTTACTGGAGGGTTCTAGGCTGCTGCATTTGCCGTGACCCATATTTCTCATGTCTTCGCTCATGAGAACATTTGATTCTAATTTGGGATTCCTCCTCCAGTTCTGTGTGTTCTCTAGGCATCAACCTTTCAGTGTATGAGTTCTCCATAATCTCAAAGTAAAGATAAACTTTACATAATCTTGGTGATGATGTTTGAAGCTCCTATGTCTAATTCCCCTTCAGCTTTTTCTCCCATGTATCTGGAGGCATCACTAGATGCCTTCAGCTTGTTCTTTAGTCTTCATATACAGTACAGTTAACAAGTAACACTGATTTCCACTTTGGTTTAGAGTTTCCTTTTAGATTTCAAATTCTTATAAAACAGGATAGTTTGCTATAGCTCTGATAGTGTTCAGGGTTTTTGTTTTTGAATGTGCCCTTGACAATGTTTTATTTTTGTTTTGGGAATGATTTCAAATTTACTGAAAGGTGCAAAAATAAAAGCATTTGAAAACCACTCATATATTCTCATGTAGAATCAGCTATTGATAACGTTACCTCACTTTGCCATCTGCAATCTGTCAATCAATCGATTGATTAATGCATAACTTTTTTTTTCAATCCATCAATGGCCTTGTATCTCTCAATATTTCAGTGTGTGTTTCCTCCCGTGTGCTAGTAATGTACATAGTGAAATATCAACATAAAAACCAGATGGATGTCCCTTGATGAAAAATGGCCTCTAGGCCTGTAGTATATACACTGTAGCTGCTGTTTCAAGGAGTTAGAGATATGCTTTGCTCATGTTTAGTTAGATAAAATATCCAGAGACTCTTTGAGGCATCTGTTTTACCTGGGGGACTTAAGAGATTTTATACCTGTATGCTTTTTCCTTTACCTTGAATGTTCTTCAATTTTTCTACCTCCTTAATGTCACACTTTCTCTTACTAAAAGCTCTTATGTTTCAAGGATCAATTCAAATATCACATCTTTATGACTTTTTGTGAACTTTTCCCTGTCAAAAATTTCCTTTAAGAAGACTCATATCATATGACTGTTTTCCCCTTGTGTGTTCCTTTGTGTCAAGTGCTGAGTTTCTCAAAAGAAAGCCTATGTAGTATTATATTATAATCTAACAATTAATGTAGGAGTCACATTTTATGTACTCAAAACTGCTTTTGAAACATACTAATGCAAGCCATCTGCTCTTATCGGCTTACTTTGTTATTATTTATTTTGTTTAATCTTTTTCTTGATGATTATGGTTGGTTACATTTAATACAGTTAATTCAGCTTTTACTCTGTGCAAGCTATTGTTACAGTGACTCGAGGGGGAACTTACACCACTTAGGAATGCTTTTGGCTGCAATACCAGAAAACCTGTAGCTAAGATATCTGGATATAGGTTATTTTGTCTTGAATGTGGTGGCTCATCAGTGTCATTAAATTCTCAGACTCATCCTGTCTTTTCACTCTGCCATTCACAGGCTTGTCAACTCATGATCACAGGATAGCTATTACAGCTCTGAGCGTCACATCTTTATGTAACCATGTTTAAGGAAGAAAGAAAAAAAGTTCTGGGCAGAGGAGGTTTCATTTTATTAGGAGAAAACTGTTTTCTAGTAACTTTAGAGAAGGCTTCTTACAGTGCACTTACTGGAAATGAATATACTTAGTACATAAATATACTTAGTGGTGAAAAGGGGCATCAAAGAGTAGAATCTTCATGACTTGTTTAAACCAGTCATTAATTATATCCAGACTGAGCCCAGTATCATTATAAACAAAACCAAGTTTCTCTTAGCAAAGCAATGAAAGGATTTGCTCTTGGCTATTAAGTAGTAGTGTCTGAGCTGATAGGCCACTTTGTCCTGAAGGTCAAGTTGTATGACGTAGTCACTAGTCAGTGGACCAGTGCAGGAACCCAACACAAAACCCAGTTGCTCTAATAAAGTTGGGAAGGTGGACAAAAACAGACAAATGGAACACCATTAACCATTGCCCAGGGAATGAGAAGAAAAGGGATAGATGCATTTTATAGAGATGATTAGTATTACTGAGGTCCAATAAAGATTTGAAGTATGGCCCAGAAAACTGGAAATGGAAACATTCAGATATGCAAGCATCAGAAACATGTCAGCAGATTGGTGTTTATAAAAATGTAGGACTTTTAACCAGCTTATCCAAAGTGTTCGTGGACCATTCTTTCCATATGTTATTAGGAAAATGGAGGCTATGGCTAAAGGTGGGAGAGGAGCTCTTTGGACTTATTAATGTACCAATATGTGCTGTGAATTTACAAGGTGAGTTTGTAGTGGTCAATATTTCCCAAACTGGGAAGTTGAGCGTAGATCAGGTACACAGAGAAGCTCATGAGCATGATCCAACTTAAATACATTTTGGTAAATGTTGCTCTGAATTGTGAAAGAAGAACTGGCAAGAAAAAAGCAGGAGCTCAATCCTAGAAAAGCTGCATTTCTAGTTAGATTGTTTAAGACAGATTGTCAAAAATACTGGTAACAAAACCACAGTGATTGGAACTTGGGCAGAAATCAAGAATGGTCATAACATCCAATTGGTTACTGATGCATTAGTAGTAAGGCTGTTTGGTGTTGAATTATCTGAGTATATTGGACTAAGAGTCAAGGTAATTCCGCTAAATTATAGGAGGGCTTGCCCACAAATGAGCCATAGTCAAGGTAATGGTGGAGCTGTTTTGCTTCTGGCAGCAGTGCCCTGGAGAGAGCATTCAGGCATGACTGGGTGATCAGTGTAAAGCAGGATACAAAGCAAGCCCTGACAATGTATATGTAAAACTATATCTATAAACACTTTCACTTTTTCACTCTCAATACTTAGGTATGGGCTTTCCAGGTGGCTCAGTGGTAAAGAATCTGCCTGCAAGCCATGGTTTGGGAAGATGCCCTGGAGAAGGCAATGACAACCCACTCCAGTATTCTTGCCTGGGAAATCCCATAGACAGAGAAGCCCGGCAGGCTACAGCCCAAGGGTTGCAAAGAGTTGGACATGATTTAGTGACTAAACGTCAGCAGAAGCATACAGAAGTATGTATGTATTACACATAAAACAGAAATTATGGAGTCCCTTTATTATTATTGTCTTCTTTGGGAAGAAGACAATTATGGAGTCCCTTTATTATTCTTTTCTTCAATGGGAAATTGTGATCTTCCCATATTTATAGGTTTTTAAAAACAGAATATCTAATTTCAAGACAAATTGTGACATGCATATAGAAAGCTGGAATAAAATAGGCTTCTTCAGTAGTTTCAGTCTGCCCACCCACCATGAAATGGACCCAGAAGAGAATCATAATTTTCTCCCAATATATGAAAATCTCAAAATATGAAAAAGTTTTATTTGATTTTCAAAAATATGAAAATGATTTCAAAAAATATGATTTTCAAAATATGAAAGTATCTTACTAAGAGGAATATACTCAGGAAGTCTGGCAGAAATCAGCCTGATAATCTGCCCTAAAAAGAAGATCAAACATTGATCAGTGCAAAATACTTTGGAGAAAGTGTTAAGAAACCGCTAAATGAAAACAGACCATATTTTACATTTGGTAACAACTCATCTTTAATTACTCATTTGTCTTCAGAATGCAGAGCAGATGGAGGGTGTATAGAGTGCTATATGTTAAAACATTACATTGTTACATATCATAGGACAAGAGAAGCAATCACAGGCTCCTTTCTATAATATAGATGTGAGTTGAGTTGAAGAAAAAGGATGGGGTCAGTCACATTCTGCTCATTTGTGCCCTGGAAGATCTGAACTGCTATAGGATTTGCTTCTTAACCAAATTAAAATGAATATTTGTATCCTTGAAATGTATCAAGGTGATCATAAGATCAGGACTTCCATTTTATGACTTTATGTGCAACAAACCCCAAACAGTTCAGGGACATGAATCTTAGGAGAGGCTATGGTTGTACATTAAATCTTAACCTCTTCAGAGTCCCTAACTGTGGCTTTCATTTGACTCTTGTCTTCTCCTTTGTCCAATGATTCTATCTTATCTTACATTTTCCTTGGGCAAGAACCCTTATTCTTGTTTGAAAGGCTTTCTTGAGATTCTGTAGAAATGCATGCCCTTGTTGGAACCATTGAGATGTTTCTTATCCCCCAAGAGGGATCCTGTCTCTGTCTTCTGAGGAGGCTCTAGAGCTGAGGAAGTATCTTCCTGTTGGACACATATATGAAACCCTAATAAAATAGGTTTCTCTACTGGGCAGGATTCGTGGTCTGTCTTTTGGTGGAGAGCGTGTCCCTTCTTGGCTGCACTGTACACATCCTCATAGTCTCTGAATTGTTCCATACATGTATGACACTAATACCAGGAGTAAAAGCTGTTACCTTGAAACAACAGTCTAGACATACATAGTATTACTTGTTGAGTAACATTATGAGCATTACAAAACAAAACTAGAACTTTCTCATTTTTTCCCTTCCTTTCTCCAATGATTCTGTTCTAAAACCTTAAGTTGGAACAGGGCAAAGTATGTGGCTGTGTCCAAGATGGTTGGGGGAGAGGGTGCCCCAGTGAGCTAAGGTTAGGTTTTGGAGCACAAGTGGGAAGTAGCAGTTCATACAGTGGGAAGGGGGGCTTCTTTGTATTGGATGTCAGAACCGAAGGTGTGAGGAGTGGGGTGATAATAGATAGTAGCTCATTGAATAAAAAAATTGAGTCTATTCTGACATAAATAACTGGCATATAAATATTTGATGAGGAATAGGATATTTATGTAGTTTTAGGATGGCTTTTCACAAAATATTTTTAATCACAAAAGGAAAGAGTAAATTTACAGTGAAAATATGGTGCCTGTCATGCACCATTTTAATCAAGTAATCAATGTGAGCATCATTAGCAATTGGGACAAATTCAGCACCCTATAGGATGTAATCAGAGAAATAGGATGTTACATCCATTATAATGTATAACCTGAATCTAATCATGAGGGAACATCAGGAAAATGCAGATTGAGAGATATTGTACAAAATAACTGGCCTGAAATCTTCAAAAGTGTCGGTGTCTTGAAAGTTAAGGGAAAATTGAAGAAATGTCCCAGACTGAAGAAAACTGAAAGAAGTATGACAGTTAAATGCAATACTTAATTCTGACTTAGGTCTTTTTGTTACAAAAGACAACTGTTGCAAACATTGGTAAACCTTGAATCATGTCTGTAGATTAGAAGATAATGTAGCAAAGTTCATCTCCTAATTTTTCCAGTTATGTTATGGTATGTACAAAAATGCCCTTGTCTGTAAGTAACACAGTAAAATGCTTGAGGGTGGCGAAGATCATGTCAGCAACTTCCTCTCAAAATTTTCAGGGATAAAGTATTCTTTGTTCGCAGGCATCACATTACAAGTGCTATTCTGGGATGACATGCTCTCGCTATATAGATGCTGACTGTGCAGTTCTTTTGTACTGGTTAATAGTAGCAACATACCCATTTTCCACACCATGTTCAAAGGTGAAATTGATTATGCAGTATATACTACATTACATCTAGGTTGGAGATTTGGAATTAGTCTAAGCATAAAGCAATTAGATGGACTTTAGAGTTTGGTTCTGTTTTGAATATAAATACTCATGAAAAGTAAAATGTTACATTGCCCTGTGGAAATACTTGGAAATACTTTGAAAATCTTTAAAACACTCACTATTAAAGGTAATTATTATTAACACAGGCTTGCATTTGCCCGCTCTGACCTGGAAGTTGAAATGAATTGTGACCAATGCCCCAATTGGTATTACCATATTACGGCAAAAGTGAAAGTGAAGTGAAGTCGCTTAGTCGTGTCTGACTCTNAGCCCACCAGGCTTGTCTGTCCATGAAATTTTCCAGGCATGGATACTGGAGTGGGTTGCCATTTCCTTCTCCAGGGGATCTTCCTGACCCAGGGATTGAACCCAGGTCTCCCGCATTGCAGGCAGATGCTTTAACCTCTGAGCAACCAGGGAAGCCCATATATTATGGCAAGGATTAGATTATATCCATTGCTGTGAATGATTTCTTGCGAGATACCTGAGATCTGAATATCCAAAATCATACTCCAAGGGACTCCTGACACCAGACTTTTTTATATTATTATTATTATCATATAACTATTACCTTGGTAAGCTGGTCAAAATGAAATATTTTATTTGGAATCATTCCCTTGAATTCTGTTGTCTTCTTACGAGAAGATCATATTGCATAAGCTACTCAGTGTATGAGTACCCCCTAAGTTGACCATAGGTATATCATTCACCTGTCTAAAGAGCAGACTAGTAATGAGGAAGGCAGTCACAATACCTGTCAGTCGCAACCTTTGTAGAAATTCAATGGAATATTTAGCTCAAAGAATTTGGGGATATATATATCAATTTTTGGTGAAATTGTTTAAAACTGCCAGCAGTTCTGGACTTTTTAATACTACCATTGAAAACTAGAGAAGCTTTACTTACATTGCCATTACATTTCTTAGGATCATTTTCTGAGCCCTACCAATGTTTAATCTAGAACTCAAATCCAGAATCACATAGTAGTCAGTTTATTTTTCAGCTCATCTTTTGTCTAGACCAGACTATTAATAGAAATAGAGTAAAGATACCTTTATTTCATTTTACCTAAAGATAGCTGTATTAACTAAATTTGTATTTGCAAACTACATTTCAAGGAACAAATGAAATAAAAGTGATAAATGCAATTATTATTATAGAAATTATAACAGAATCATTTAGATGAGTCATTTGAAAAGTCTTCATTAAACATGATTGGATATTATGTTTATTAATTCATTAAGCTCTATTTAAAATACCAAATAAATAAAATGCATTATTAATATGTCATAAACTAAATGGAATAATACCACACAGACCTATTATTTTTAAAGTTCCTCGCAAATATCAACTAATTCATGTTTATTATTCTTTCAAGGACAGCTTGTATGATTTAACAGGAACGGTTATGGTAATTTTATTTGCCATAATATGAAATTCTTACTACAACATCTGAACTGTTTTTATTTTTCAGTGTGATTTTCCTTCCTTGAACTAGCATGTGCTTATCATAAGATATAGATGCCTATAAATATGAAAATAAAATCATTATTGATCATTATAAATCAAAGCAAACCTATGTTAACACTTTGGAATTTTTCACTTAGCCTCCTAGGCTCATATCAGTGAACTGTGTGTGTATTTCTTTTACAAAATTAAAGTCTTAGGTTATATTGCCTTATATGTCACATTCACTTAAATACATTAAGTATTATTAATTATGAGTCTGGAATATTCTAGTGGCAGGTCATAGGAAATGAGAAACTACAGGAGCCCATTAAGAGTATCCACAAGGCAGTTTAGAGCTAAAGCTACAGCAGAGTCAGAATCCAACCGGCCTAATGTCAGACAATTTGAGCATTAAGTTAATAAGCTGTAATCAATCCAAACACATCAACTGTGTTTAAAATCCATGGATTCACAATTTTAAAACATTTATTGTTTATCATTGCAGGGTGCTTGTGAATCAATTCATTGTTTTTAAAAAACTTAGAGAGTTTTTTATCTTGTTTTATCTGTTATCTCCTTAATCATGGGGTAACCAAACAGTATATGTGCAGATCTTGACTATTCTTTCTTATAACAGAATAATCTTTGAGGATATGATTTTCAGAGCATCCCATGACATGAACGATAATCTCACAAAGCTCTTTGAAGGTCTCCCCTGGTGGCTCAGACAGTAAAGAATCCACCTGCGATGCAAGAGATGCGGGATCAGTCCCTGGGTTGGGAAGATCCCCTGAAGAAGGAAATGGCAACCCACTCCAGTATTCTTGCCTGGGAAATCCCATGGACAGAGGAGCCACATGGGCTGCAGTCCCTGGGGTCACAAAGAATCAGACACAATTGAGTGAGCACACACATGCACTTTAAGTGGATCATAAGATCTAAGACCTATAAACTGTATCACCTTGGAAAAGACCTGAATCCATTTAGAATTTTTGTGTCCCAACTTATTACATTTTTCTCCAAACCTGTCAGTTTTCCAAACTCCAATTATTAACTAATCTACCTTTTTCATTACAGTGTATTTCACTGTAATGTTCACTGTTCTGTTGCTATATTCAAACATACCGTGTGCAATTTGTGTTCCCCATTATGTCCCTGAGCTCATCTTGTGCTAAGGTGCTTCAGTCGTGTTCAACTCTGTGTGACCCCATGGACTGGTGCCCACCAGGCTCCTCTGTCCATGGCATTCTTCAGGCAAGAATACTGGAGTGGGTTGCCATTTCCTTCTTCAGTGATAGCCTTAGGTTTCACCTATTTGTCAGTTAAGTGTCTCCCTCATTTAGTTCCTCTATTTTTGTTTTGCTTTTGTTTTTTTAATTTCTTTTTTTCCCTCTCCACCTCTCTCTCTCTCATTGGAGAATTTCTCAAATGTCTGATCCTTAAGTAACCATTTGTATATAAACTCTTTAAAAGAGCTGATTGGATAATCTGGATATAGGGTCAGTTGGGTTTCACCAGCAGCAGTAGGTCTTGTCTTTTTGTTGGATCAGCTTCTACAAGAATAAGTCTTCCAGTCTTCTGCCTTATGTGTTTGGCTGCCAGCTTTCTAGAAGCCAGCAGAAGAGCTTTCCTTGAGACTAGGGGTGGGGTATCTAATTCTCCTTTCACAAGCTTTATGCCACCATGTTTTCCACTCTACTCCATCTCCAGAGGGTACCTGGATTCCTTCAATTCCTGATGCTTTACATTTACATATAGGAATGCTTTTTTTTTTTCCTTTTTGGCTTCCCTTTCTATGTGCATAGTTATTAGATTTCTAAGATGTTCACTTCCTAAATCAGATATAACTAGAAAGTTTTCTGCTTCCAACCAACTGTTCTTATCTCTGCTTATTTTTGTTTAAGTTTGAGGTCTCATGCCTTTTCTTTCTACTGTTTAAAACTGTTGCTTAATTAGGTTTTGCACTGTTAGATATAATTTTTAAAATAAGGTAAAATCATGATTTTCAACTTGTTAACATTTTTATTTAACTTGTTAATGAGGAAACTAGCGAGACTTTACAACCAGTTGGAAGAACAAAGGAACATATTTATAATTAGGATTATTGAAATGTATATGCAAGTAGAAGTAAAAGTAGCTTCTTCCACAGTGAGTGAGGAGAATCAATGGAACCTCTACCAGACAGGACAAAATGTGCATGCTTACAAACCAGGATCATTGTGCATTGCCATTAGTTATCTGCAAATTTACAGAGCTATAAAACAACCTCCACAGAATCAGGAATTGCAGAGGTGTGGTTAAAAAAAAAAAAGTGTTTCCCAATGAATTACAATTTTTCCCTTACTGGGGGTAAACAAGGATAAGGGCAAGAATTCAACCAAGTTTTTTTTCCTTTTTTTCCAGATAGGCTCAATATGATGAAATGAATCCTGCATGTTTTCCTCTCAATCCAAAGTAATCAGATTTAAAGTTTTAGTAGAGCCTACTGATAATATAATAAAACTGACATGACTTCTATTTCTCTGCCATGTGTTTTCATACTCTCCTTGTTTCTCCCTCTTATTTTAATGTCAGAGGTGCCATAAAAAATTATTAAATTAGAAGTATCTAAATTCAAATACTCTTAAAAATATCTCATCTATGTGGTTTTACCAACATTTGAACAATAATTGAAAAGATTTTCACTTATAAAGGAAGGCTCTACTTCACTCAAGACCTGTCACAGCTAGAGAAGAATAATTTTTCCAGCACCTTCTGCAAGGTGTGGGATTATTCTATCTGTGCACCAGATCAAAAAACTAGGTGAAACACATCACTGAATATTTTTATTCCTGAAGTGGCTGGTGAAAGTCATTGTCCTGGCCTGGTCAGAATTATTACTTGCCTTAACATGCCACACCTATATGGTCTGCTCATTCTTCTCATCTATTCTTATAGCCCAGCCTGCCATCATTGTTCCTCTTCTTTACAGAAATTATTCATCTGTAGTCCAAAGTTACTCTTCAGTGCATAAAACTCTTTCTGCGTCCACCATCACCAGATGAGAAAATATATTCCTATTGTTTGCGCTACTTCTTTTTCTGATTGCCAGTACACAAATACAGGGCAAAGCAAAACTTACAGAATATGTGAAAATAGACTTTTTAAAAAATACTTATGCTTTTTACAGTCCTCTCCTTGAGTCTTCTACTAAGGCTGCAAAAGAAGTTTGCAACCCTTCATGGTTGTACGTATTAAAAAAAAAAAAAAAAAAACACAAAAACAGGCAAATAAGACTTTTGTGCTGAGCTGTGCCTCAAAGTTTCATTGATTTTTCCAATCACTTTCCTCTGTGATAGTTTGCCTGTCTCACAGAGCAACTCCCTTTCCCTCAGCTGTAGCAACTGGCAGTAAAAGCTGTCATCTTGCAACAAAATGCAATTTAAACATAGTTCATTGCCTGCTCCAAAATTTCTATAAAATCTGGACTTAAGGTTCATAGTTTGGCTGGAACGAGGCTTGGAGAATATTAAAATAGTTCTTATAATGACACTTTTACATATAACAGAGGGGAAAGAAACAATTGTTGATAACAGAGAATGGGAGGGAACCAAGCAGTAAGTATTACTGGGAACAGAGATGTCTGTTCCTCTCCTCCTCCCATCCCAGCTACCTCTAGGCTCTGCAGCTGACTTTATCATTTGAAGCACAACTCAAAGAGAAGAATGTGGCTGGGGTTTTATAGAGGCCAAGTCTATGGAAGTAATGAGGACAGATGTTATCTTGGAGTGGGTTTTATCCTGCAATATCCAAACACAGGGTGGTCATTTGCACTTAGCCATTTCTCATTTTTAGGAATGAAAAAGAAAATGGAGAGGGGGGAATTCTCAACCTTCACTGTGTCCTAACTTCTGGGAATACAGAGCCCATATGAAGTTTAACATTATTACTGTTCACATGTGGTTTATATACTTGGTCTTTTTAGAAGGACACCATAACCTAGCCCCTGATTTTCAAGTGTAATAAGACAAATAGGACTTAACTTCCCACTAGGGTAAATGTGCTATTAAAGATAAACAAAGATGGGCACTGGTTAAAGGCAGCCAAGACAGATTTTTTTTTAATTTTTATTTTATATTGGTGTATAGTTGATTAATGATGTTCTGTTCATTTCAAGTGTATGTAAAGTGATTCAGTTGTACATATACATGTGTCTATTCTTTTCCAAATTCTTTTCCCATTTAGGTTGTTAAATAATGTTAAACAGAGTTGGTTGTATATGATAAATATAGCAGTGTTTATTGCAGTAGGGAAGAGTCTTGTGGAAACGGAGCTCAGTTTCACCAGACTAAAAGGCAGGAAACTTTTTTTTTTTAATTTGAGTGTAATTGCTTTAAGATGCTGTGTTAGTTTCTGCTCAGCTGTATGTATATGTATATCCCCTCCTTCTTTAACCTTCCTTGCACCTTGCCCCCTATCTCTCTCTTCTAGGTCATCCCAGTGTACCAAGCTAAGATCTCTGTTAGGTATCACACCATTGTAGTCAGAATTGCGATCATCAAAAAATCTACAAACAATTCTGGAAAGGGTGTGGAGAAAAGGGCCCCCTCTTGCACTATGTGTGGGAAGGTAAATTGATACAGCCACTACAGAGAACAGTATGGAAGTTCCTTAAAAAACTGAAAATAGAACCACCATATGACCCAGCAATCCCACTCCTGGGCATATACCCTGAGAAAATCATAATTCATAAAGACACATATTTTCCAATGTTGAATGCAGCTCTATTTACAATAGCCACGACATGGAACCTTTTTAAAAGCTAGGGTATTCTGAAGGAAAGACACTGAAGGGCAGTAAGCAGGAGGTGGTTTGGTCCATGTAACTGGGCCATCTGGGTATGACACTTATCTGGAGGAAAACAAATTTTCTCTCTTTAAAAACAGGGAATGCTATGAGTTAGAGCACCGTGCCCACAAGGATAGGCCCTTACGTTCCCAAAGGAATGAGAAGAGCTATTTCCTTGAATGTTTGCATCTCAAAGAGAGTAGGCTCCTAAGTCTTTGAGAAGACGGTTTAAGTAGTAGATTTGCATCTCAAAGGGCAGATAAAAGATTTACAGATGTTCCCTGACTTGCAATATTTTGACTTACAATTTCTTGACTTTAGTATGGTGTGAAGGCAATGTGTGTTCAAAAGAAATTTTACTTTAAATTTTGAATTTTGGTCTTTCCTAAGCTAAAAATATGCAATAAGATTTTCTCTCCTGACACTGGGCAATGGCAACCAACCACAATTCCCTGTCAATCACAAAAGAAACAATTCAAACACTTACAGCCATTCTACACCCATACAAACATTTGGATTGTTGTTGTTTAGTTGTTCTTTTACCTTTAGTATTGTATTTAGTAAATTGTATGAAATATTCAACACTTTATTATAAAATAGGGTTGATGTTAGATGATTTTGCCCAACTGTGAGCTAATGTAAGCATTCTGAGCACTGTTAAGGTAGCCTGTGCTTAGCTATGACATTCAGTAAGTAAAGTGTGTTAAATGCATTTTTGACTTACAGTATTTTCAATTTTTGATAGCTTTACCAAGATGTAAGTCCATCTAAGGTGAGGTAGAGCTCTGTAATCAGAAGCTTTCTCAACTATCTACTCTAACTGGGAGTTCAGAGGCCTACAGCCTATTCTTATGTTTTGACTAGAACAGATAAATAAGTTCTCCTAGCATCACTGAATTTTCTTAGACAGGTGTTTTAAGGGGGGGCTGGGTTCATCCTAGGGACACAGCCTTAGGCTGCTTGAAACCATGCCAAAGTTCATAGTACAGGAGATTGGATAGACTGGTTATGTTCTGAGAGTATTTTGCAATTCTCAGTAGAAATGCTTTTTTACTCTAACCCACAGATGACCTCATTGAGGTAATGGTGGACATTTGCAGTGAAAGAATACTTTCAAGCACATTATATCCCCATAAGCTTCTCAAAGACTCAACTAAGCCCAAGAATTCCCAGAAAATTAACCCTGTTCAGTCAATCGAACCACATAAGCATTGGACGAGGTAGTACCCTAAGATTTCATGGAGCTCAACACATTGTAAAAAAGCAAAAACAAAAACTGGTGTGATCTACTTTCCCAAATTCCAAACTTCTCCAACTTCATGATGTGTGTGTGTGTGTGTGTGTGTGTGTGTGTGTGTGTTTTCCTTTCAGGATGTACAGTATATGCCTGACCCTTAGTGTTGTTCTAACAACCTTGTCTTAGGAGTTTGCCTGGACTACTGTATATTAGAATACTGGCCCTGGGCTACACTTGGAGCTGATATCTACTCCCAAAGAGCTACTAATTCCTTTAAAACAGTCTGGTATTTAATATGCTGTCTCTTGATTTATAATATTTCATTAAAAGCAGTAACAACAGCAGCAGCAAAATGCCTAGTGTTGCTTGTCTTACCTCTCCTCTGTCAGCATGAGAGAGTCATCTCTGTCTCACTAGCAAATAAGAAGGAAGTCACATAAGTGATGTCCAAATTTTGGTGAGAAGGTGTATTCATAGTTGGGCATGTCTCCAGTGATTCTGACTTTTAGTATCATAGCCAGTGTAAGATTTAGAACGTGAATTGCTGGGCCCTGCATCCACTTTAATTTATGTAATAGTCATTAACTGGTCAAGTCATTTTCAGAGGCAGAGTCTGATATAGATTTTTTTCTCTTAGAATGTCAGAAGAATATCTCCATAATCATATAATCATTTATTTGATATTGTTATTGAGAGGAAAACAAAAAATTAAGTAATCGTTTAGCTTTTATAAAAGAAGCAGATACTGACACCCCAGCACATATAGGTGAGACTGTCCAGACAGTGGATAATTTCTACATTTCATCAAATGATTCTGATGCAGACATTTTAAGTCCACACACTGGGAAAGAACTCTTTCAGACCCTTTTCCACCTCTGACCAGAGAAGCTTTTGCTCAAGTTTGCATACAAACATCTTTAACTGATGTGTGTGTGTGCTTAGTCACACAGTTGTGTCCAACTCTTTGCGACCCTGTGAACCATAACCTGCCAGACTCCACTGTCCATAGTTTTCCGGGCAAGAACACTGGAGTGGGTTGCCATTTCCTACTCCAGGGGACCTTCCCGACCCAGGGATTAAACCTGTGTCTCCTGCATTGGCAGGCAGATTCTTTACCACCACACCACCTAAGAAGCCCTGTCTAACTGATCCTTGTTGTTCAGTAGCTCAGTTGTGTCCAACTGTTTGTGACCCCATTGACTGCAGCACCTCAGGCTTTCCTGTCCTTCACTATCTCTAGTTCTTCTTTGCTTTCTGCCACTAGAGTGGTTATTCAAATTTATTTGAAGATTTTTACATATTTATAATATTTATTCCACCCATTTAAAAATATTACAAAGTTCTTCTTGATTTATTTTTCTTAGTAAATATTTGTAGTTTTTAAAATGCGAGATCTAAGGATATCTTATTTATTGCTATATATTTTAAGTTTTGATGCAATCACAAAGGAGTC